GCTGATTGGTTTCTATGCAGAAGGGAGTCTGATTTTGGACTCTCCAGCTTTAGTAAATAAACCCCTTTCTGTCGTAGAGTCACAACAGGAAAGGAAATCTATATAAAGTGAAGGTCATTCCCTTGTACACAGTTGTCGCCAGAACATGTGTCCTCACTAGAAAATACCCACTCCTCTCTTGTTCTGGTAACAACTCCAAGTTTAGGATTTTCCATCACTTTCTACCCTAGTGAAAAAAACATAGGTTAAAAGGAAAGAAAATAGCTTGATTTCCCCATCAACACAATCAGTGTTGAGAGGGGAATCCCCTCAACTGTGCTATTGCATTCTGACAGCGGGAGGCTTCCAGGCAATCAGAATACAATGATTACTGCTGGAGGCTATAGCCGACAGCAGTGACTAAAAAAAAAACCACAACAGGCTAGTTGTACTGAAGTCGATCAATAGATGAACTACAATACAACCACCTTGCCCATAGATTAACCAAAATAGGTACATATGGTCTATTTGAGCCTTAGCTTGTAAAGACTGGCTTGATGAGCAACATGTTCAACATCTTTTTTTAAATGCCTTCTAATGTTTGCTATATGCTTGTTAAATACCTTATAAAGCCATTTAAATGCTTGTTAACGAGAATGCTTTTATTTTGATCTGTATTCTTCCAGGCTGCGTCCGAGGCATACTTAGAAGGCTTCAAGAATACAGTTTGATTGTTTTTAAATTTTTGCTGAACATGATACTTTTCAGACTTGTATTTACAAGCTAATATTAAAAATGCACATCCATATTCAATCTAATAGGGAGAGCCTGATGAGAACAAGTCATAAGACTTTGCTGCTAACCTTTCCTTCCTTGCTTCCTCTGCAGACTGGTTCCAGTGCGCTCTATACTGACCATTTTAACATGGTTGGTGGCAAAATGGGAGCCAACCAATATCAATGTGCAACATTCAAGTGTGTCTTGGTTAATATGAACACTAAACATAGCATCTATGACAAGCATTGGAATGGGATAATCACAATTGTTTTGTAAAAATAGAAAACCTTCAAAGCTGAACTCTAGGCAGATATAAAAGATGCCCAATAATGTAGCTTTGTATTCATTAGTAGTACACCTTAAGGCCTCTTTCACATGGGCATACTTAAGCATACACCCAGTGCGAGAGCCGTGTTTGCCTACATGGGGATGCACAGGTGTTCCATCCATTCCCATGCAGGCAGTCCTATTCATGTCAATTGGTATGCAGCGGCTGCATGAACACAGCTGCTGCTCCCAATTTGACATCTCTGTGGGCGCAGGTATGTGCTGTCTATATTCATCCATGCAGCCCCTGAATAACCAATTGACATGAATGGGACTGCCTGCATGGGAATGCATGGAACACCTGTGCATCCCTGTGCAGGCAAATAGAAACATTGCACGGACATAAGTTTAAAGGAAAAGTTCACCTTCGGGAACATGTTACATATTCCACCCATTTTTAGGGTGGAACATATAACATATTCCCAATGCTGCAGCCGCAGCCCGATCCCCCCCCCACCCCCACTCCCCTACCTGTAACAGCAGTACAGGGACAAGTTCCCTGCACAGGTTGTCACTTTTTAAAAACGATGTGGCAGTGCGGGGCTCCACCCTCACGGCCGCGTCATTCATTCACAGAGTTCTGTGAATGAATGAACTACAAGTCCCTTGATGAACTAACACAGTGCAGTGCTGAGTGCTACAGTAGTTCATTGAAGCTTCATGTTAGTGTATCTGCCCCATACGAGCACAAAGATACACTAACAGGTCTGCAGGAGACCTGCAAGGCATCAGCGAGCTGCTGATCGCTGGTGCAAGGCTCCTGCAAAAAAAAAATGCACATTTTTTTTTGCTTGCAAAAACAATGTACATTTATTATTTTTTATCAAAAGGTGAACTTATCCTTTAAAGTGTTACTAAACCCACAACAGTAAAATTAAGTCTGTATATGCAGTAAAGCATGCTTGTTATACTCACTGTGGAACCTAAGGGGGTGCATTGTGTAAAAAGGATGTTTGATCCTATCTTCTCTGAACCTCCCCTTCTTTCACAGTCCCCAATCCATCTGCTCAAAGTACAGAGCCTTGGGGGCAAGCTGCACATGCTCAGTTTGGTGTGTATTGCTAGAGAGTCTTTTTTTTCCTGGGAGGGTGCATGTGGTCAGCACAGGACCAGTCAGTACTGTTCAAACAGAGGTCAGGGGTCCTGCATCCTCCTAGAGGAGAATGAAAACTCCTCCTACAAGCTGTAACCAGTGCTCTGCTGGACACGGATAGAAGTCACATGCTCTAACAACTGATGAAAAAAGGTATTTAGTTTATATTTACTAAAATAATTGCATTTCCATGTCTGTGTACTGTGGGAGACCAGATATAGTGCATGCATCGTCCTGGGTTTAGTAACACTTTAAGTACTCCCAAGTCAAAAAGACCTAAATGTGTGTTTTTTTTTAATGCATGTAGTGTGAGTACCATAATTTGACTTGCTATCAGCCGTTTGCAATGTTTAAAAAGAACAGTTCAGAGAGGGGGAAGGAGAAGCAGTAGAAGAGGCTAATTCGTTTTGCTGCAGTACAAGGAGCATTCTGATAGAAGGACAGAACAGAGGGACAGAGATGAGCTCTCTATCTTCTTCTCTCACTGTCTAATCACAGGGTGACTACTGCAACTTAGGTCTCCTGCCATGCTAGGCTGTGTGATGAAGTGGATGGACAGAAATACAAATCCCTTGGCAAGCAAAGCAGCTCCTTAATATGTATTTCTTTGTGTATTTAGTTGCTTGCTTGCAATTCATATTTGACCTTAGGTGCAATTATTTTGTAGTTCCTCAATTCCCAGTCTGATACTCACCTATCACCAATCTAGTGAGATATTGGCTGTGTGAACTTGTCCGCACTGCACAGCTGCTTGTCAGAATCTTCCCCCTTTTGCTTATGCACTCTGTACTCTCATTTAATTCTATGGAAATTAAACTGGTTCTAAATGCTAGACATTTTTTTTCTGTAATGCATTCTCTGCATTAAGATAAAAAAAGTCTCTGCATTTATATCACCCCCCCCCCACCCCCCCCCCCCCCCCCCCGTATACTTATCTGAGCTCCATCTCAATCTCGCATGGTGCCCGTCTGCAACTCCTCCTCTCTGCTCACATAGGTATCCAGTGCTATTAATCAAATCCTGTGAGCAGAGAACAGGGGGCAGGGCTGAGATGTGCTGTGTGTCTCAATAGACACACATAGCCCAGCATGGTAGCAAGCCTCCAAGGTGTGCCCCCATAGGAAGCAGCTTGCTATCTTCCTATAGTTAAACACCAAGAGAAGGAGTAGCCCAGAGATCCAGGGGGAAATGGGGACCCAAGAAGAGGAGGTTCTGAGCTGCTCTGTTCAGCACCAATGCACAGAGAAGGTATGTGTAACATATTTATTATTTTAATAAAAAAATAATTAAGCTTTACAATCACTATAATGGAGTATGAACACATACTTCAGACCAACTCTCCATATAATGGAATAAGAGTGTATAGTGCATGTGTGGCATGACAAGCCTGTAAGAATGAGAAAATGGATTAGGCTGGAGGCAGGGGACTACAAAGTAAGCACCAAGGTACCAAACTTGTGGTAAACAAAAATGCTCCTGCGCTTGGGGATGGACTCGATACAGGCTACAACCACATTAAGAATGTCCTGGAACATGCACACCTTGCTGCCCTCAATAGACCGGGGAAATCCAAATATACTGAATGAGGAAAGAACAAACAGAGGGCGCACAGGCCTAGTGCATTACCATAAAAAATAAAAAATGTTTAACAAGAAATAAAGTAGGTGTTGTACTCACAAACGACAATAAAGTCAAGGCACATCATAAAAGAACAGCTGGGTCAACACCACACTGAGTATGAGTCCGCAATAGGGAGTGTAGACATCTAATAGGCTGACGCATTTCGAGGACTAAGGCTCTGAGGAAGAGACAAGTCCTTGAAATGCGTCAGCCTCGGACGAAGTAGTGTGACGAAACGTGTTAGGGTGTGATCCAGCAGTGACGTCATCACGCACACCGTATCTTGTGTCCGGACCATGTGACTGCAACCACATCATCTGTTGCAGGCTGGTGAGATGCCACTGTGTATGCAAGAAGCGGTGTGTTAAGCGCTGCTGTTTGAAAGATTTTAAATATACAAGGCTTTTTGATGTACAAACATAATCCGAGTTCAGTTTTTATGGGGGTATTCTGTTGGAATAAAATTTTTGAAACGGTATCACGCTATGGAGAGTGTTCTTTACTTTGTTCACATGTGACCATTTAAGGAATTCATTGGGATCTTATGCTGGTTATAGATGGTATGCTGGGGAGTTTATTACATCTACTGAGTTTATAAAGATATGCTGGTATTTCACCAGTTTCTGCTGAGTTTTCACTTTGATGGGGTGTTGAGCACTGGATGATTCACTGGTCAAGGAAATTTTAAGATTCCATAACTTCATTGATTGAAGATCATATATGCGTTATATAGACTTTATTTAATGGACTTTAATGAGGATCCATTACTTGGTTTTGTTTTTCTCCACACATTATATTTTATTTCGGGGTGGATTACTATTATTATTATTTATTTTCTATTTTTTCAGTTGTATTGATTGTTTCAGTTGTATTTTGTGAGCGCTATTATTGTGGTTATATTTATGTATTTTCACAAATTTGATATATTTTGGGCTATTATTGCATAATAGCAGCAAATAATTATTTCCCAGGACTACATTCTCAAGGCACAATGATGTAGACCTTGGAATATATTAATCTGCTATTAATATAAGTCACCAGGGTTTATATTGTTTATTGCAATCATGCATAAAGGCTAAAAGCTCAGTGTGCATGAGGTCTAAGTCTAGGTTGGCGAGAGTGCATTAACCGTTTTCCCCATTGCCCTATAGCAAAGATACTGCTATAGGGTGGCAGGGGTGTGCAAAATCACGTATATATACGAGATTTTGCATTTCAGGGTAGGGGGCATGCGCAAGTCGTGTGCATGCCCTACCCATACCGTCATTCCACCATTGACGGCCTCACCTGTCAATCACTGGGTCAAAGCTGGTGAGCCCCCCGGCACCCGGCGATCATCGTGTATTACCAAGGGGAAGAGACCTGTATGTAAACAATACAGAGCTCTTCCCCGTCAGCTCCTGCACACTACTTTGTATGGCTCTGCATAGCAGAGCCATACAAAGCCCACACAAAGCAGTGTGCTTACAGTGTAAAACAGCACACAGTTAACTCTTTGATCGCCCCAAATGTTAACCCCTTCCTGCCCAGTGTCATTAGTACAGTGTCAGTGTCTTTTATTAGCACTGATCACTGTATTGGTGTCACTGGGCATGTCAGTGACAGTTAGTCATTTCCCCCCCGTCTCAGAATGCCCGCCGCAGTCCCGCTATAAGTCGCTGATCGCCGCCATTGCTAGTATAAAAAAAAGAAATTCCAGTATCTATACCGCCATTTGTAGAGGCTATAACTTTCACGTAAACCAAATAATTTATATTAATTGGGATTTTTTTTTTAGCAAAGACATGTAGCAGAATACATTTTGGCCTAAATTTATTTTTTTAAAATACAAAATTAGATTTTTTAAATGTTTTTACTGGACATGTTTCAAAAAGTCAAAAATATAGTTTTTTTTTCCCTCAAAATTGGCGGTATTTTTTTTTATAGCGCCAAAAAATAAAAAAAACGCAGAGGCGATCAAATGCCACCAAAAGAAAGTTCTATTTGTGAGAAAAAAAGGACATACATTTAATTTGGTTGCAGCGTTGCATGACCACGCAATTGTCAGTTAAAGTACCACAGCGCCGTATTGTAAAAAATGTCCTAGTCAGGAAGGAGGTAAATCCTCTGGAGGGCAAGTGGTTATAGCATGTACTGTTTTTAACGTTAATGTGTGCTGCATTAGGTAGCTCATTACAAATGAACGGGCTGGCACGCACCTAAGTGGTCCAGAAACTAGACCTGCACTTTTTTCTGATAGCACACTGTAGCACAAGTAGCTTGTGGTGCCTCGCATTGCGGTAATGTGCATGGGAACGCGCACATTCCCGCAACACAACAACACAACAGCATGAACAAAGCCCTATTCCCAGTTAGAAGTAAAGAATGTGTTGATGTATCCTGCATCTCACTTGCATGAAATGAATGATGTAATAAACAATTAATGTTCTGAAAGTATATGTACATTTTACTGTTCCTACTGCAGGTCAAGTGTAATCATATTATTATTGTTCATATAATTTATTTATAATCCTGACACTTAAGACAAAGCTGTTTTCAAAACATTAGTCATCATCATAATGTCTGTGTTATGAATATTATAAAATCTATATCTTTCAAAGGAGTTCCTGGATGAAGACCAAGAAACATTTTACTGAGCTGAATCTTTTAAGAAACAATTGTGTTTCTATACAACTGCATTTCTAATGCTTTGCCGTTTCTTTATCATAAAATAGAGTGTATGACTTATTCCACACTGTATTTATAATGTGATATTGTGAGACATCAGGATGTGGTGTAAGTAAAAGCAACACCATCAGATACTGTACGCAGTCAACAACATAAGAAAACCTACCACCTCTGCTTGTAGAATTTCCACCTCTCACTTTAGGCCTGCCCAAGCTTGTGTAGAAACCTCTCACTTTAGGGCGGTCAGCCTACAGCCATAGGTTTTACTCCCGCAGCTATGCCTACAGTGCAATGGATCCAGCCAACATAAGAAAACCTACCACATCTCTGCTTGTAGAATTTCCACCTCTCACTTTAGGCCTACCCAAGCTTGTGGAAGGGTGGTCAGCCTACAGCCATAGGTTTTACTCCCGCAGCTATGCCTACAGTGCAATGGATCCAGCCAACATAAGAAAACCTACCACCTCTGCTTGTAGAATTTCCACCTCTCACTTTAGGCCTGCCCAAGCTTGTGGAAGGGCGGTCAGCCTACAGCCATAGGTTTTACTCCCGCAGCTATGCCTACAGTGCAATGGATCCAGCCAACATAAGAAAACCTACCACCTCTGCTTGTAGAATTTCCACCTCTCACTTTAGGCCTGCCCAAGCTTGTGGAAGGGTGGTCAGCCTACAGCCATAGGGTTTACTCCCGCAGCTATGCCTACAGTGCAATGGATCCAGCCAACATAAGAAAACCTACCATCTCTGCTTGTAGAATTTCCACCTCTCACTTTAGGCCTACCCAAGCTTGTGGAAGGGTGGTCAGCCTACAGCCATAGGTTTTACTCCCGCAGCTATGCCTACAGTGCAATGGATCCAGCCAACATAAGAAAACCTACCACCTCTGCTTGTAGAATTTCCACCTCTCACTTTAGGCCTGCCCAAGCTTGTGGAAGGGTGGTCAGCCTACAGCCATAGGTTTTACTCCCGCAGCTATGCCTACAGTGCAATGGATCCAGCCAACATAAGAAAAACCTACCACCTCTGCTTGTAGAATTTCCACCTCTCACTTTAGGCCTGCCCAAGCTTGTGGAAGGGTGGTCAGCCTACATCCATAGGTTTTACTTCCGCAGCTATGCCTACAGTGCAATGGATCCAGCCACCATCAAAAATTGCAGTAAAGAGTTTCTTTGCACTGCTTTCCCATAGTGAGTCATTTTGGACTTGAATGGTGGAAGTAGACCTCCCAGATTTGGGGAGTGGTGAAATGTCACTTTTGAAACCCTGCCTAGATATTTCCTCCCCATTTTCAGCACCCCAACACTCTTCCTTGTGACCATCAGCAATCCACACAGGTGGAAATTAGTACTTTTGGAGTCCAAAAAAAACAGTTAATTTCCACCCTTGCGAAGGAGGAAAAACATTGCTATGTGAATCTGAGAAGGAAGAAAAGGGTGGATGCGCAGCCGTTTTCCTACACCCCCTGCTAGCTACAGCAACTTTACTACTTCCTGCATGATTCACAACTAGCAACGTGGAAAAATACAACTTCCCAGAGCCTCTACAGACTCCCCCTCTGATATTTGTAACCTCCAAGAAAGATTTGGGGAAGGGTGGGCAGCCTCTAGCCATAGGATTTACCACTTATTTTTTGTTGTTGTTGTTGTTGCTGCTATCTGCCCACTCCCTTGCATTGTGAAAGGAGGAAAAGAATGCATAAGGAGGAAAAGAGTGCATAAGCAGCAGTCTTCAAGAGGAGGAGGAAAATGGTACTTAAGCAACACTGTGAAAGAAAGTGGTTGCTTGCGCCCTTGAGAAGGACGAGTGTGTGCCATACATTAAAAAAGGTCCACACTGCAGAGTTCTTTCTGTTTGCTTGCCCATTCAAGTGCTCACATACTGTCACTGACACTAGCCAATTTCTACCTACGACATACCTGAGGTCTCCATTCCTTCTAAAATTCATTCTTATCACTGCTAGATAAAAACAAAATCAAGTATTGCCTAAAAGGATTTTTTTAAGGTTGTATCAATTGTGCTGTTGCATTCAAGTCAAGCAATAATGTCAAGTCTAGTGGATCCAGGCTGTCATTTGTTTCAGTGCTCCACTCCTGATTTCTGCAGAAAAACAGTGGGCAGAGTGATTTCCTACCAACAGACTCTGCATAGCCCTGGAAGAAGCAGAGACAAATGGAGAGCAGTGGTGTGGGACACAGACTACTATGGTGCCCACTGAACACCAAGTACCTTCACTAACCACAAAAGTACCCCTTTGGCCTTCATTTATTTATTTATTTTATTTCAGGTACTTATATAGCGCCGTAAGTTTACGCAGCACTTTACATATATATTATACATTCACATCAGTCCCTAACCCTCAGGGGTGTACAATCTAAGGTTCCTAACTCATATTCATACATACTAGGGCCAATTTAGACAGGAGCCAATTAACCTACCAGCATGTCTTTGGAGTGTAGGAGGAAACCGGAGTACCCGGAGGAAACCCACGCAGGCACAGGGAGAACATGCAAACTCCAGGCAGGTGGTGCCGTGGTTGGGATTCGAACCAACGACCCTAGTACTGCCAGGCAGAAGTGCCAACCATAACTCATCAGCCTCACTGACCACCAATGTACCCATTGGCTACTATGAATGGACTGACTTCAGCTCCAGCTCCCACTAACCATCAATATTTTTTACTTTATCTCCTCAATGGCCTCCTCTGACAACCAACATCATGAGTTTCTTCCTCCTATGAACACTATTTGCCAGGCATTTGTTCCTTGCATTGACCACCAACAACAGAAATTTCCCTCCTGCTAGCTATTACTGGCAGGCCTCTTACTAACCACTAACATTTTACTTTTTTTCCAAAAGATGCTGGGGATTTTTTTTCCCAGTGACTCTAAAACTTTTTGTTCCCCCTACTTACAACAGACAAGTAATGTCAGGAACCCTATAGTACATGCTCCTAATTATTGCACTCAATGGGGGTTATTTACTAAAACCATAGAGTGCAAAATCTGGTGCAATCAGCTTCCAGGTTTTTTCGGCAAAGCTTAATTGAACAAACTGAAGTTAGAAGTTGATTGGATACCATGCACACCTGCACCAGATTTTGCGTTCTCCAATTTTAGTAAATCAACCCCAATATGCTGTGTAGTATATGTCAAACAGACATAACCTCCACACTCTGTACACTGTGTTGTGTTTTCTTAATGCTGTGTAGTGAGCAACCAATAAATTCAGTTCATCTTTAAGGTAGCTACAGACAAAGTGTTAGTTTATTTTTTTATTTAATGATTCTTAAAGTTTATGTGTGAGAGACTGTTACTCACAAAACAGTAATTAAGGGAGAATTTGCAGGTACATACCAAAGGTAGGTGTGTAAAGGTAAGTATAAACCTTATTTATCCATGCCCCTTTAAGTCACAACCAGTCAGGGACGGACTGACCATTTGGGAACTCGGGCACTGCCTAGGGCCCGGGGTCAGTAGGGGGCCCAATGAGATGCCCCTGGTACCTTTCATAGGCTTTTTTGGGTGTGGTTTGAGTGTGGGTGAGGACACAGGGGCCCCATGATCCCCTATTGCCCGGGGGTCCTATGAGTTGTCAGTCCGCCCCTGCAACCAATATTCAGCTTTTTTGGAAATGTTATGGCATTATAGGTTCACAATTTCCTGAATTAATATACTGTCAATATTGCTAGTTATTTTTATTTGTCAGTCCAATAGTCTTGTGATTTTCTCAGTTATCTCTATATAATCGCTATGCTGGGCACTGTACCACCTTTCATATTGTATTCTATTTATGAAACTGATACCCCTAGACCCATTTGAGTAGGCAAGCACTCAGCTGAACACATACATGGAAAGGCTGTTTTAGATCTAATCACTTTGCATACTGAGTAAACCATTCTCACTGTCATTAAATAAGAGATCATCAAAGACTAAGAGGTGGAAGGTGGCTTTACAGTGGATAAATCTGCATGTGTATACAGCCACCATAAATCACTTTTGGCTTG